ATTTCCAGTGATGAATGTCATTATATTGTATACCTAAAATGTACCAATAAAATAAAAATTTTAAAAAAATGTTACAGTAAAAGACATAATGCCATTCATCCTCTTGAAATCATTCATCTTTGCTATGAACACACTTATTCTGCCCTTCGTTGTACTTTCTGAATTCTGTAAGTTAGCTTTCGTGAGCATCTTTAGTTGTGTTGTCATGGCTGCCCCAATGTCCTGAATTGATTAAAGATGTTTACCTTTCATGGTCATTTTTATTCAGGGGAGAATCAGGAGTCACATAGGCCCCTGAGCTGGTGAATAAGGTAGATAAGGACACACCATAATGTTTTTAGGAGGCTGTCTTTCTGTTAGATTACATGCGACTGCTGTATTCACTATACTTTTTATCACACTTCATAAAAGTGTGTAATAAGACACCTTAATAACAAGTAATATTTAAAAAATCTAAACATTCGATGTATATATTGAACACATTTTGTATACAGAAAACTCAAATTTTATGCAGAAAGAAATACAAATTTTTAAAATTTCAACATTCACTATATATTTTGATTGCACCTCAGAAAAACAACTGGCATGATATATTGTATTTGTATAGGTTAACTCTGGACATGAGATTGCTTTTCTTCTTCTTTTTTATCTATTATTATCTCTAAAAGTTTTTATGAATATAATAGAGTAATTTTCTTCAATGAAAATTATTCACACATATTTCAAGTATCAGTTTGGAACCCATAAGCCACACACTTACTCTCCCAGGAACACAATCTCAGTGTTGATCTTCCCTGACTTGTGGTGTAGGAAGTTTCTCAGGAAAGCAGTCACGCTGTCAACAGTGATATTTCCACAGACCACAATGAACCTGGGCAGCAAGATCAGGAAGGTGGATTATCTGAGGAACACATGTAAAGGTCCTGTAGTTTCTGTGGAGAATGTACTCCAAGACCCACAAGGACAGCCAAATCTGCAGATGCTCAAGTACCCTTATTAAATGGCATAGTATTTGCACCTAAATCATGCATATACTTCTGTATATTTTAAATTATCTCTAGATTACTTCTAATTCCTAATACAATTAAAATCCTATGTAAATATTTGCGATACTGTCTACTTAAGGAATAATGACAAGGAGAACAAGTCTGTGCAAGTTCATTTCAGATGCAATTTTTTCCCAAATATTTTCTAGCTACAATTGGTTGAACCCACAGATGCAGAGAGGACTGAGTATATCTTCTTGTCCAGTTTTAAAGATGGACAATTAGCTTAATCTTGTTTGTAAATAAATGTGGTATTTAACTATAGAAGCACTAAATACTGCATCCCCAATGTACAAAAAGTGTCAGATTTCTGTAGGCTTCTAGCTCAAGTCCATGTGCCCAGGTGTTATACACATAGCTTTGCATGAATGCAGTCATTATTGCTAGGTTTGTAATGATTATTTACAACTTAAAACAGATTTTCCACTTGATTTTTTTCACTTGATTCTTGATTAGCTAATATAGGCATTTATTTTTTATTAAGAAACTGAGACTGAGAATAATGCAATCCATTTTCCCTAGCCAGATATTAGGGCTGAGGTAGCACCAACTACATTCTAGATTGCTTCAGTTTATCCTCCACATCTAAAATGATCTAGTAGTTACAAGACAAGTTAATACTATGAAGAGACAGCTAAGACAGGAATCGATGTTTTCTGACAAATTTCTTTCTTTCTGACAATTTTCTTAGATTTTATACATTTAAAGACAGTATTCGGCTGGGGATTTAGCTCAGTGGTTTCACCGCCTGCTGCACAGGCGCAAGGACCCAAGTTCGATCCCTGGTACCAAAAAAAAAAAAAAAAAAAAAAAGAGACAGTATTTTTTCCACTATTACTCATTTAAGAAGACTGAAAACTTAACCTTAAAATTTTCAGACCAGATTGGCTGATCATTATGTGCCCTACATACCTTTCCTGAGATAAATGGGGTTAGACTTTGGCTTTTGTACTTCATTTTACTGTTCTCAGTATATTTATTTTTTCATTAATTTCATCATTTTTCCTTTCCTCTCTGTACAACTTCATCATATTTTTTAACAACTGTGCTAAGAGAGTGCCCCAAAGGACTTTATCTACATAGTGCCTCTTTCCTCTGGAGACTAAATAAAAAAGAATCACATCAAATTTAAGATCTTCAATCTGTTCTTTTCTTCTGAGATGCAAAAAGACATAATGGTAGGTGAGATAACATGAATCTATGGGAAAATAAGATAAAACACTTCCACTTCCATTTCCCTTCTGGGAATAAATGACTAAAGCTTGGGTGAAATCAATGGTCTGAGAGGCATTATAGAAGAAAGTAGACATTGCTCCCCACTATAGCAAATCTTTGACCAACAAATGAGCTCCAAATGGTTTTGGGCAGTTTTACGTAAGACAGCTTCACTATATTAATCATTTTAAACTTGAATCATGGCTTAACTTAATCCACTATGAAATGTTATCAATGTTACCCACATGATGAAAATAAATAATAGATATGAGAATAGTCAATGACAAGGGATGTAGAAATACTACCATGCCCAATAGTACTTATTGACAGTGAATTACAACATAATCTGTCATTTTAATTCTGAGTGTTATCAGAATTGAAAGGCAGTCACACAGGTCTATTAGAGAAAGAAAAAGGAAGCAAGCAAGCCAGCCTAGAAGGGATGCAGGAAGGGTTTCTCATGTAGTTATGGATGACAATAAGCATCACAAAAGACCCCACCAGACCACAACTTGTACAAAGGCAAGGGCAATTTTACACACACATACACTACTTATGCAAGGATGTCTGCCCAGCAACTGTCTACTCTCACATAGATACTACCTATGTTATTATTCCTTGTAGCCAAGGAATAATTATTGCCTTAAAATATCTTTCGCCTTTACCTTCTTGAATGTGTTGTACTTAACTATGGCATGTATTCCCCCTGCAAAGCTCTGCTGCTTTTCTCATTTAAATATTGTTTTTGGAGAATCTCTCTTCTCTCTCTCCTCTCCTCTCCTCTTCTCTCTCTCCCTCCCTCCCTCCCTCTATGTCTCTCTTCTTGTTATTTAGGTTGAAATACTTGATTTAATGCTCTTACAAGGACCTCTACAGTAGTTTGTAGTAAGTAGAAAATATGTTTGCATCACATTTATTCTAGCACAGAGTTCTTTAGTAAATGAAGGAGCTTGCTAGCAATTAACCTTAGGTTCCATAACTTGGCCAGGCAACAGACACCTACAATGAGATATGTGATTTATAGCATATCTTAATCTGCTTAAATTGTGTTTAAAAAGTTACTTACTTCTTTCCTTTGACTACTTCATAGGAATTGATATAGTTCCTCTTGTTAGCAAAAAGTTCCAGCATTTCAGGGACGTAGTTTGCAAATAGAACCTAAAATGGTCAGCAAACCCCAGGTCTTGTTATTTTGACAGAAGATATCCTCAATTCCCAGACTTAAATGAAGAAAGAAGATGCATATAACTTTCTCTCATCTAGCAGGAGTTATGAACTGAATTTTAAAAGGAAGACCAATTTTCTTCCTTACTTTAGTGTCTAGATTGTGTTAAAATTTAATAAAATGTTTTTCAACATTCAATTAATAAAGGCAAAGGCAAGTAGTAAGGCAGCTTCCCTACCAGTTTTGTCCCTTAGTGACTGCTGACTTCCTTCTGCCTCTGACTTTACACCATTTGGGCCTCGGGACATTCCAGAGTGTGAGAAAAAATAATGACTTAAATGAAAGGATATAACTGGCAGACAGGAGATTAGAAGAAAGGTAGATAGAGAACTCTATTATGGCTTTTAAAGGACTGAAATAAAAGTCACTAAAGAAAACGAGGCTTCCTTTGCCCTCGCTACACTCCTCAATTCAGCACAGTCCTCATTTATCTGGAATTATATGCTGATGTACAGTTCTTACCCATTAGTGGTGGACAAGATGGAACTTTCTTCAGATCAAATCTCAAATGTTCTTTCTCTTTACAAGAAGGCTAATTTATGGGCAAAGATAAAGGAAGATACATTTGCAGGAATCATTGCAGAGGCTAATAAGGAAAGTCTGCTCCTTTTATCTACCATCTTTCATCCCTGAACACCAAGACATTGTGCCACGGGTTCTGGGGAATGCAATTAGAAAACAAGGGATCTACTCATCTTTGCATTTTCATATGGTGCTTACACTGAATGAGGCAACATTCATTCCCAAACCCAAACTGTTTTATCTCTCACCATTAATCAAATGGTCTTTTAGCTTATGTAGCTATATTCAAAAAATATTTAAATTATTCTTTACCAAACTCCCCAGGGTGAAGAACATAATGAAGGTCCGTCCGAGAGATGTCTTGGCCACTACATCTCCAAAGCCAACAGTTGACATTGTTGCTATGACCAGGTACATGGAATCGAAATAGGATATATTCTGTGCGTTTCTGCCTTTGAGCCAGGGATCACCAGAATTCTCCACCTGTACACAGAGAGAAAGGAAAGATCTCTGAATAGAACAGAAGAGATAGGTTAGAAAGAATAGGCAAACTGTTGGAACAATGTCACTTCATTCAATTCAAAACAAACCAATTCTCAGGCTGCTGTGAAGATGTTGCAAATTGCAAGCTGTGGTTGGAAAACCTCGGTTTTCTTAATTGTGATTATTGCTGAAATCTGAGAGGGAGACACGGCTTGTGGCCAGCATTCGGATCACTCCACAGGGGCTGGCTGGCCCCTTCTCTCCCTGCACCCTAACACTCCAGGGACTCTCACAGCTCTCAGACTGAGCAGTTGCCACTCATTCTCATTTTCTAACCACCTCAGGAACATCGTTAAGGAAAGAAGCTGAGCACTTTATTTCAGTGAGCTTAAGCATATGAATACTAGTGTCTAAGGAAAAACAAACAAGTGTTTCAAGTTATTTCTCTCATCCATGCAAAAATTTTTCATGATTAGAAAAACCAGAAAAGCATTTTCCTTAAGGATTTTCCCTCTGAGTCTTCACATATTAAGGAAATTAAATTTATCATATTATCAATTTCATATTAAATAAATGGAATAATACTCATTTGTATTCAAATTATATATAAATTTGTTTTATATAAAATATTCTATAATATATTATATAGTGTATAATAGATACTTACAATTCACCAGTATATATTTACATATAACTTTCCTATTTTTGGAGATTTTTCTCCATAGCTTCCATAGATGCTGTCCATTTCCACTTAGCAACAAAAATGATGAAATGTTGGGGATTTCTGGGGGAAAGGAGGCTTTTTATGTTGTTAAGAACTGTTATGGAAATTAAAAATGGTTTTGATCACTTTTTTAAAGTGAAATAACAAATGTGATCTGTTTTCTAAATTTAATGGGTGATTTGAGAGTGTAGATCCCTATAATCCCTCCCTACAAAATAGGAAAGGGCTTGTATACCTGTACTTTCCTCCCAAAGTTAACAGTAAATATTTTTACACAGTGTATTAATCTGTTTCCACTGACTTCTGTTGTTGCCTTATTTTAAGATGATAACATGTCATAAAAATAAACCAAGTTCAATTCACACAGATTTGAATCCCATAATATTTTGGGACAGTTTCCTTGAGGCTAAAACCCCATAGCCTCTTTTATAACATCTTACAACAAGGCTTTAATAATCTCCCTGAATAAAATGTTGTAAAGACTAAAGTTAAGTTGATTTCAGCCTGCAAATAAGGCTTAACTCACTATCTTTGGGAGTCAGAGAGGAACTTCAGCACTCCCAATTCCTTCCGGCTTACCCAGCACCTCTGTAAACCACTCGTAGCTCCTAGGAGAAGAGAGTGGGTGCCTTCATCAGGTCCATCTTTTCCCTCAGCTGCTCCTCTTAGCCAAGCCAGCATCAACCCCTTGGCCCAAAATGGGGGTAATAAGTTAAGATAAAGGAGTATGGCCAGTGCTATAGTGCTAAATCATTAGTTTAACTCCATATATCAAAACTAAATTTCATGTTTTTAAACTTTACATTTGAACTTTAATGCACAATATACTATAAAGGAGGAGGATATAAAGTTACTCATCTATATCCTCTCACCCCCCACTAGTTTTTCCATTCCTTACATTACATTGACATTGTGGGTGCACATCTTAGTCTGTAGCCATAATGACCCCGGTCATGTCATCTGTATTACAAGTATATTCACTAGTTTTGACCATGGCTTGTTCATTTTGAATTCTTAGTTTTGATTCTTTTCCTTTGTGGCTGCTGGGTTTTATCAAGCTACATTTCAAAAGGGGGCTCATGTGTCCCGTTTTGCCTTGCATGCTTATTGTGACCAGACAGGTTGTATTTCCTTTCAAAGGTGCATCATGTAGGCACTTCTTTATCATCAAATATTGATCAATACACCCAGGAAATCCAAGGCTATTTTCTTTTTTCCCCTTCTATGGGCCTTGGTTGTTCTCCTTGGGTTCTCTTCATTATCCTTGAAGGTCAGTAACTGCTCTAAAAGACAGCTGGGATTAATAATAGAGGGTCATTTTACCTGGAATACAGTATACCTGTTGACTGACAGAAGCAAAGCTTTATTTTCAAATATCTTTCTGGTGTCTTTTTTGTATCCTTTTGTTTGGAAATGTTTAGTCTTAGAAGGATCATTTTAGGCTTTTAAAAAAGACTCGTTTGAATTCTTCAAATATGGAAGGCTTTTTCTTAACTTTTTCTTTGTTCCCTTTGGCAAATTATATTGTAGGTCTTGGTTCTATAGCTATTATATTATGTGACTACTGTCATACTGGTATCTCTCTGCCCTCCACCTCTGTCCTTGTAATTTGGGGCAGAATTCATGCTTAGGCACCATATTGATTCTTTTCTAGTTAATGCCAACCTTTGAGTGGTATCAACTTTAGTTGAAGAGTACTGTGAGTATGGGAAGATAATGATTTGGGACCATTGTGGCTTTTATTTTGGTTTGCATTTCAAATATGCTTTCAACAAAACCTACTCTTTCCTTTACTTTGGGGTTTGTTTCTTGTGGGTTTGTTCATATTGTGGAAATTAGTGTGGCTCAAAGCAGAGCCCATTAGTTCAGGAGCCATCTGACTGCTGCTCCCTTCCTATAGGCATCCTCACCAGCGTGGCCTTGCTCAGGAGACTGCATGTCCAGTAGGACACATGCTCTTGTGCTCAGAGGGACAGAGCAAGAGTTCAGTGAGTAGTGGGGCAGGCAGAGGCCATACACAGGAAGCAGCTACTCTTCAGCTATGATTCTTACAGGCCTGGGGAGAGTAGAGGTGCCAGACTCTTGTAATAATTTTCCCAAAGAAATCAGAAATCCAGGTTTTTACATGAGTTATCTGTAAAACTTAGCAACTAATTAAAAACAGAAAACAAAATAAAAATATAATGAGGTCAAATAAAATATGCTTGTATGCTATAGTAAGCCTGAGACCCTCTCATTCAAACTGCTATTGAAGGCAGAAGAGGGCATAATGGCTTCTTTCCTAGCTCTGGGGACAAGATCAACAGTCCCTATAGGGACACTGGTGATTCCTTCTCCCCTGGATACCTCAGGACTCAAGCTTCAGCCCTCTAAACTGAGGAATCTGCCTTCCTCTGTGGCACCTCTTCAGAAAAAATAGTCTTTCTCCTTCTGGAATGTGGAGGAGGGGCGGAGCTGGTTCATGTTCCTTGAAACGTTTATCTTAATTTCATTTAGTATTTGACCTTTTTCTTGATAGACTAAGGATGGTAAGTTATTTTCTTTAAAAATTATTATTGTTTTAATTAAACCTGAGAGATAAGTCAAAGGAATGTCTGCTGTATTTTGTTTGGTTTGGTTTTATTCTCAAAGGGTTCTGCAGATTTTTAATATCCTATTCAGTGACCCTGGTTTGTAATGACTGCTCCATAACTGTCTGCAAGCAGTAAAGTTCAGGAGTTCCTTTCCTGTTACTGAAAGCCATTCACTGCGCTGCTCTTGATGTGAGATAGGAGCTAGCCTTTCCCTAAGCAAAGGATGCAGCGAGGTGTACAATTTCAGGAGAGTCAGCGAGGCCCAGAGCCTGTCTCTCAACACCAGCAGCACCTCCTCCCTTACAACTATCCAGCTCTACAGAAGTCTGAAATTCTTTAACTGCCTCTCTTTCTTTCTTTCTCTTTCTTTCTTTCTTTCTTTCT